AAAAATTGATATCTTGTTTACGTGAACATGCTGCTTGGGTTGATAAAAGGACTAGCAGGGTTAATTTGGTTTCTTTCGTTGGGTTGGCTGGGAGTACCTAAATGAGGGGTGGGTGGTATGATTAAAACGCTTTTGGCCGTCATACGGTCGGTTGACGTTAAAATTAATCATTTCCTAAAACTAACCCACATTAATTAATTAAATTTGTTTTCTAAAACCCCTCACGTTAGGGCGGGAAGGGTGAGAAGACAAATAGGGGATGGAGCGATGATGACGACACACGTGGCACGAAAACCCTGCTCCTCAACCCTTCCAGTGTAAAAATCATTATATTCCCTGGTGCCAGAAAAGCTTTTGGCCATCATACGGTCGGTTGACTTCAAGAATTTGGGAAACACGGGAACCTCGTGAATACGGATTCGTTTCTCGACGCCTTCATCGAATCGCTCGATGAAGACGTCGTGAATTGGTCGTTTCGAGGACACATTTCATTCAGTCAGATTCGATCTTCCATTTCTGTACTGGCTATCGTCCGCATAGTCGCAGACTCGAGACTCATCGTGGAATGCGTTGGAATTTCCTTCCGTTGGGAAAATAGACACTGACAACAGGATTCCCTCACGGATCCGTGCGAGATACGCAGAGGGACGCATGTGAGCATCCTTCCCAGGTCTTATGGACGCCAGGCGGTCCTGGTTCCTTCGCTTTCCATTCCCAGGAAAAGAGAAGCGAGAGGCTCGTCGGCGAAGGATAGAAGGAAAATGATTCGTGAAAATGTTTTTCGCATGGGGAAGTGGGATCCCATTAGTGCACATTTTATTTGCCGCAGCTTCTTCATCTATGAATGAACTGTCATCACGTTGGGCAAACTAAATCACCATCTACATCATCACAATTTTTCTTCTAAAAATAAGTTGTTAAGATTTTATAATATCATGAATATATCTACACTTTAGAATTAGTCAGGGGTTCCCACAGACCAAATGATACCTACCCTGATCGTCTTGAAGTAAATAGAATATTCCCAAACGGCATGGAAAGAGTTGCATTCGTCCTGCTAGTAAAGTAAAGCCTGCTCCTGTGACGGGGGTCACAGGCAATTCGCGTGGGGAACCTCAAGGAAAGTATTGCACATATGAACAGCTGAATGCGGTCCTGACTAGCTATAACAGGTTCTTCAGCGTTATCTACCGTCGATTGCATGAACCTTTGTCTCTAGCTACTGTCAGATAGATAGCAGAGTCGTGCTCAAGAAAAAAAACCTTTTTAGCGTTCAAAAAACCTGTCCTCCCTAATCCTTGAACGTGAAAGAACCCCTTTGAACTGGGGCAAAGCCAACCGCAACATTCTTGTGCTACTTGGGATCGTCAACTGACAAATTCATTCCTCTCTTCCAACCTCTATTTATTGACGTGGATGCTGTGTCAATTTCTTGTAAGAAGCGATTTCAATTTTATATTGATAATTACTGTGCCTTCGTATTAATAACTTGTCAAATTGTACCTCCGTCAATATACTGTATAAGTAAAATGTAAGATCAAGTTGATGTAACTTATAGGCATGTCATCTTTTCCAAGAAAATAATGTCATCAACAGTCATGTCAAACCTTCCAACATGCATGAAATTCTCATCATACAGATGTAGTATTAATATGAAAGAGTCAATATGTGTGATACTTGGCATTTTTCAAGTGCGACTTCAACCGAGAGGGGTACAATATAAAGGACTATTAATCATGCTCTAGAGGTAGTCGATTCAAAATCCATTTATTGTTTAAATCTCATCGGAATCGATGAAAATGAGTAGCCACTCGGCAATCATGGAAATCTGTCGAGGCAGTTCTGAAAGTCGATCGGGTCCAAGTCTTGAAAGTCGGTTCCATCGGTGCAGGATCCCTTCACTTTTGCCAGCAATTCAGGATTCAGCACGATCCAGGCCATGGTGCAATCACACACCACAGGATTATCTGGAACACAGAAAATCTGAGATATGACACATGCCTTGCATCAATGAGAACATTGAACGAGCGGAATCTCACCATTGAGATCGATTTCCCGAATCTTCTCCAGAATAGGGCGGAAAGGTTCCTCTCTCAATACTGAGATTTCATTTTCACTTAGATCTATCCACGCGGATTCTTTGAAACCTGAAATAAAACGGGGAACTAATTTTCAGCCTCTAAAGGAAACAAATACTGGGACGTGCGACCTATATGCTGATGGTAACCAAATTTAGGCATTAGGAGAGCGTACCTGTGATTGCATCAAACTCCACATTCGAGATGGAGTTGCCTTGTATGTCAATATAATATACCGAGGAACCCCGGAACTCCAAAGATCCTTTCGTCAATGTTGGTCCAAGGGAACAATAAAAAGCACTAAAATGTTGCAAGTTCTCCATGGAGCTGAAGAATCCAGGTTGAAACTTCGAAATGGGATTCCATCCTGCGGAAATGGCAAAGAGATATATTGAACAGGGAGGGACCAACAAGTAAAAGAAATTAAAAAAATCCCATGTTCAATATAGGGACTCATATTTATATGTTAAAATATTTTAATTCCATGCTTGCTTCCCGTTTTTTATGAGTTGCACAATAAAGAGATGAAAGTGGGAAGGAAAATCTTGTACTATGTACATAGGAACAGATAATTAATTGCATTTGTATGGTGCAGGGAACTTAGGAGCTCTTAGGAACGTAGGCTAAATTTTCATTTGGATTTAGTGGTATTAAATTTGCATAAAATATTATATCTTGCACTTTATATCAGGTTATGTCATGCCTAGTTTACATGAAATACGCATCCACTTCGGTGATTTGAAGAACGGAAGTTCGTTATTCTTTTCCCTTTTTCTTCTCAATCGAAAAACGTAAATGGGATAAGGAAGAAATGTTAGATTTAAATTGAGTTTCGATACCCATTCATCCTCGAGTCAATGCTTTCAGTATTCTTTCACTCACCCAATCTGAGTTGTGTCAGATTTGGTAGAGACAAATTCCCGAGAGAGGTTATTTGATCCCCGACACCGAGATACTCCAGACTCGAACTTTGGAATGATGACAGAGCGGTCAGCTCAGTTGTGTGGAGGGAAAGGTCAATGAGATTGCTAAATTGTGCGATGATGTCATAAGGAAATTCTCTGAGCTTGCTATTGCTGATATTCAGTTTCCTAAGTCGATCTTTCGAGGGGAGTAGCGCCTCAGGATGGACGCTCTGTACAGAAGTGAACGAAATGCGAATATCTTCAAAAGTGACATCACCGAAAACTCCATCTGGCAACTGCTGCACTTTGTCGTTATGGATCAGCCGAAACGATCTGCAAGCATAGGGAAGAGCACGTATTCTTTCTTTGTGGATTAATTAAAGTATTTGTCTGACTGCTGGCACTGATGATATTGCAATGAACCAAGTTCATAATAAAACTTTTCCCACATTATTTCCAGAAAAGTCGAGTAATCGTTATTTAGAAGCCTTTCCAATTCTCACGCCATGCGACTTGTAATGAAAGCACGATTCTTCCAGCATGTTCCCAAGGAAGATGCTTCCTGCTGACTCTCCACTATCGCCTGGAGCGCCAGCTGTAGGAAAAGCTGGGTTGCCTAAAATTCTATTCTGGGTCTGACCGGGTTTAGGATGAGAGGACGCTAAATGACGCAAAACTTTCTACATGATGTGTCTCATTTCCATTATTGCTCCAAATTGCATTCATGAGATGATGTTTGCCTTTGTTGATCAAAGACCGTTATGTGCGCGATGAATGAGCAGGCAACGTTAAACCATTCTTCTTCTGCATCCTGGCATTCTGTACTTAGTAATGTTGCAGAAGCGAACGACAATCACACGAAAAAAAAAATGCAGAAAGCAAAAAGAAACTGCGCATTCGCTTTGGAGTAGCATGGCCAGTTATTCTCGCTATTCCCTTAGTATTTTTTATTTCTTTATTTCCTTTCGCCTCTCAGATATATATATATATGTATATGCATTCAATTTTTTAACACGTTGACGACCAGCCTATTTTTGCTTGTCCACTGCGTGGGACCACGCGTATTTTTTTTTGTCAAAAAATGCGTCCCAGAAAACATTTTTTTTGTCGAGTTTTTTTTTAAATGTTGAATTTTTTGGAATTTTTAGGGGCCAGTCAGCGTCGTTGAAGGCAGAGAAGATTTCTTCACTCGAGGTCGCCTCCGAACAATCCACGGTCACAGTGGCGAGAGTTTCATTGTGGGAGCAAACGCAGGGAATGATGGCCTCGGGATCGGGACATGGACTCTGCCCGCCGGTCCCGGGGAAGGAATAAAGGATGATGAAAAGGGAGAGAGGGGTCAGGTATTCCTGCATCCTCGAGGGAGACAGAATGAGGAGTAGTGAGAAGTGAGGAATGGAATGGACTGGGATCGAGTTCTTTCCCACCAGTTGAATTGGAGGAGAATTTCCTCTCTTTTATAGCTTCCGAGAAATTCATCGGAAAATGTTGCAATTTCTAGGAGTCTCTTATAAATTCTCGGAAATGTTTCTGACTTCTGGGAAATGGTATTCCACACTTGCCTTTTTGTTTTTAATCTCCATGGAAGCCTCCAGGTGCAGACTTTCACAGCCAAGAAGAGGGTCATATTGAACTCTGCCGACGACGCCGATCCAATCCGATCTTGTCCTCTCGTAAGCGTTTCATTGGTTTTACGAACCTTCCACCTTCCTCACCCAATAATATTCTCAATGAAACTCATGTAGAACCTTACTTTTACGGGTTTAGGGAACGATCGTGCCTCGTACCTACCACCATGCTGTCTCTCAGGAACACAAAATATTTCCTAATTCCCTCAATATGTTTTAAAGCACTGTTGATACCACATAGAATTGGTTTTTGTTCATCGCAATGTACGTAGAATGAATAACTTCAACAAGACATAAATCCTCTCTCACATGCACTTTTTTCTGGGAGAAAATACGCCTCCCTCATCGCCCTCAAGCAGTAATCGGAAGGAGTCCGCTGACCGGAAAAGCGAAGAATACAGCGTTCATGATCGGTCCCTCTCAGGGCACCGAGAAAGTAATTCCCTTCTTAGAATGAGCCAAAATTAACCTATATTAATTAATTATTTTTGTTTCCTAAACTCCCCTCCCCCCCCCTGTTAGGGCGGGTAGGGGGAGAAGACACATTGTGGACGGAGCTGCCCATGACGACCCACGTGGGCCAAAAACCCTGCTCCTCAACCCTTCCAGGGAATAAACTATCATTCTCCATGGTGCCAAAAACGCTTTTGACTGTTATGCGGTTGGTTGACTTTACGAGTTCGGGAATTACCGAAACCCCATGAATACCGAATCGTTTCTCGAATCATTTCTTATGCGTTATCTTCCGTCGATTGCATGAACCTTTGACTCTAACTACTGTCGGATAGATAGCAGAGTCATGTTGGAGAAAAAAGCCTTTTTAAAGTTCAAAAAGCTGGTCATCCCTAATCTTTGAACGTGAAAGGACCTCTTTGAACAGGAGCTAAACCAACCGCAAAGTTATTGTGCTACGTGGGATCGATGACCTGACATTCATTCCACTCTTCAAACCTCTATTTATTGACGTGGATGCTGTGTCAATTTCATGTAGGAAGTGATTTCAATTTTATATTGATAATTACCATGCCTTCGTATTAATAACTTGTCAAATTGTACCTCCGTCTATATACTGTATACGTAAAATGTAAGATCAAGTTGATGTAACTTATAGGCATGGCATCTTTTCCAAGAAAATAATGTCATCAGCAGTCATATGAACTTTTCAACATGTATGTAATTCTCATCATATTGACGTAGTATTAATATGAAAGAGTCAATATGTGTGCTACTTGGCATCTTTCATATGCGACTTCAACTCAGTGGGGTCCAATATTAAGGATCATTAATCATGCTCTAGTGGTAGTTGATCCATAGTCCATTTATTGTTTAAATATCATCGGAATCGATGAAAATGGAGTAGCCACTCGGCAATCATGGAAATCTGTCGAGGCAGTTCTGAAAGTCGATCGGGTCCAAGTCTTGAAAGTCAGTTCCATCGGTGCAAGATCCCTTCACTTTTGCCAGGAATTCGGGATTCAGCACGATCCAGGCCATGGTGCAATCACACACCACAGGATTATCTGGAACACAGAAAATCTGAGATATGACTCATGCCCTGCATCAATGAGAACATTGAAAGAGCGGAATCTCACCATTGAGATCGATTTCCCGAATCTTCTCCAGAATAGGGCGGAAAGGTTCCTCTCTCAATACTGAGATTTCATTTTCACTTAGATCTATCCACGCGGATTCTCTGAAACCTGAAATAAAACGGGGAACTAATTTTCAGCCTCTAAAGGAAACAAATACTGGGACGTGCGACCTATATGCTGATGGTAACCAAATTTAGGCATTAGGAGAGCGTACCTGTGATTGCATCAAATTCCACATTCGAGATGGAGTTGCCTTGTATGTCAATATCATATAGCGAGGAACCCCGGAACTCCAAAGATCCTTTCGTCAATGTTGGTCCAAGGGAACAATAATAAGCACGAAAATGTTGCAAGTTCTCCATGGAGCTGAAGAATCCAGGCGGAAACTTCGAAATTGGATTAAAACCTGCATAAATGGCAGTGACATAATGAACAGGGAGTGACCAAAAAGTAAAAGAAATGTTTAAAATCCCATGTTCAATATAGGGACGCATATTTATATGTAAAAATATCTTAATTCCATGCTTTCTTCCCGTTTTTTTATGAGTTGCACAATAAAGTGATGAAAGTGGGAAGGAAAATCTTGTACTGTGTACATAGGAGCAGATAATTAATTGCATTTGTATGGTGCAGGGAACTTAGGAGCACTTAGGAACGTAGGTTGAATTTTCATTTGGATTTAGTGGTATTAAATTTGCATAAGAATATTATATCTTGCACTTTATATCAGGTGAAGTTATGCCTAGTTTACATGAAATACGCATCCACTTCGGTAATTTGAAGAACGGAAGTTCGTTATTCTTTTCCCTTTTTCTTCTCAATCGAAAAACGTAAATGGGATGAGGAAGAAATGTTAGATTTAAATTTAGTTTCGATACCCATTCATCCTCGAGTCAATGCTTTCAGTATTCTTTCACTCACCCAAAAGGAGGTGTTTCAGATTTGGTAGAGACAAATTCCCCAGATAGTTTATATGATCCCCGACAACGAGAGCCTCCAGACTCGAACTTTGGAATGATGACAGAGCGGTCAGCTCAGTTGCGTCGAGGAAAAGGTCAGTGAGATTGCTAAATTGTGCGATTATGTCATAAGGAAATTCTCTGAGCTTGCTATTGTTGATATCCAGATTCCTAAGTCGATCTTTCGAGGGGAGTAGCGCCTCAGGATGGACGCTCTGTACAGAAGTGAAGGAAATGCGAATATCTTCAAAAGTGACATCACTGAAAACTCCACCTGGCAACTGCTGCACTCTGTCGTTATGGATCAGCCGAAACGATCTGCAAGCATAGGGAAGAGCACGTATTATTTCTTTGTGGATTAATTAAAGTATTTGTCTGATTGCTGGCACTGCTGATATTGCAATGAACCAAGTATATAATATAACATTTCCCATATTATTTCCAGAAAAATTGAGTAATCGTTATTTAGAAGCCTTTCCAATCCTCACGCCATGCGACTTGTAATTAAAGCACGATTCTTCCAGCACGTTCCCAAGGAAGATGCTCCCGCTGACCCTCCACCATCGCCTAGAGCGCCAGCTTTAGGAAAAGCTGGGTTGCCTAAAATTCTATTCTAAGTCTGACCGGGTTTAGGATGAGAGGACGCTAAAGGACGCAAAAATTTCTATATGCGTGGCCACCACGCCTCCTTTCCATTATTGCTTCAAATCGCATTCATGAGATGATGTTTGCCTTTGTTGATCAAAGACGGTTTTGTGCGCGATGAATGAGCGGGCAACGTTAAACCATTCTCCTTCTGCATCCTGGCATTCTGCACTTAGTAATGTTGCAGAAGCGAACGACAATCACAGGAACTAAAACATGCAGAAAGCATAAAGAAACTCTGCGCATTCGCTTTGGAGAAGCATGGCCAGTTATTCTCGCCCTTCACTTCGAATTCTCTACTTCTTTATTTCCTTTCGCCTCTCAGAGAGTGAGATATACAGTGGTACCTCGCATAACGAACGCAATTCGTTCCAGCGGTGCGTTCGTTATGCGAGGTGTTCACCTCGCATAACGAACGCACCGCTGGAACGAATTGCGTTCGTTATGCGAGGTACCACTGTACATGTATATGTACTCAATTTTTTTTTAAGTTATCCAGTTCGAATCTGAAATTTCGTTTCGGAAAGAATGATAGGGTTGCTCAACACGGTTTGGTTGTGGGGAAATCAGACAATTCGGGTATTTCGCATTTCGTAATCGTAACAGCCGTTTAAAGGTCTTCCTAGCAACTAAATGACATCAATGTAAAAACGATCAGTTGCTTAAAATGCCTGAAAATAAAAATGTTACCATGTATGATAGTTTGAAGGAACTCATTTCCTCTCCTCAAGAACAGAAAAACCTGAAAATGCCTTTTAGTCCAACTGGAAGCATGGATAAAGGATCGGGTGAACAATGATTGCGAGCAGCTTAATCATTTGTAAGTTTTGATCTCAGACCTGATGTGGAATTCAAAGATGATTCGATCGTTGCTGTGAGAAATGTGTCGAAAATCCACAAAATAAGTGAAGAATAATTTTTTAAAAGCAAGTTTGTCAAGTTTGGGTGTTCATTTAGGAATGCAAAACAGTTTTAATTTCTTGGAATCTCGTTCGCAAAATCATCTTACGTGAGCGTTAGGAGGGGCCAGTCAGCGTCGTTGAAGGCAGAGAAGATTTCTTCACTCGAGGTCGCCTCCGAACAATCCACGGTCACAGTGGCGAGAGTTTCATTGTGGGAGCAAACGCAGGGAATGATGGCCTCGGGATCCGGACATTGACTCTGCCCGCCGGTCCCGGGGAAGGAATAAAGGATGATGAAAAGGGAGAGAGGGGTCAGGTATTCCTGCATCCTCGAGGGAGACAGAATGAGGAGTAGTGAGAAGTGAGGAATGGAATGGATAGGGATCAAGTTCTTTCCCATCAGTTGAATTGGAGGAGAATTTCTTATCTTTTATAGCTTCCGAGAAATTCATCGGAAAATGTTGCAATTTCTAGGAGTCTCTTATAAATTCTCGAAAATGTTTCTGACTTCTGGGAAATGGTTTTCCACACTTGCCTTTTTGTTTTTAATCTCCATGGAAGCCTCCAGGTGCAGACTTTCACAACCAGGAAGAGGGTCATATTGAACTCCGCCGATGAGGCCGATCCAATACGATCCTGTCCTCTCGCAAGCCTTTCATTGGTTTTACGAACCATCCACCTTCCTCACACAATAATATCCTCAATGAAACTCAAGTAGAACCTTATCCTAGGAAGGAGTCCGCTGACCGGAGAAGCAAAGAATACAACGTTCATGATCGTTCGCTCTTAGGGCACCGGGGAAGTAGGAGACACGAAAAACCAGACTACTTGACAAATGGGCCGACTGGATTTTAAAATAAAATTTAAAAAAACTTTATTCTTTAACTTATCTCCCTTTGATACCCGTCTTTCGATAAATCACATGGTACTTATTTTCAAAAGATATAGGACTGTAGGTGATTCGTACTGTGAGCTGTTGCAGTACGGATTCCCATAGGCGTGCGTCACGCAATTCCCATCTCTTGTTATTAATTAATTGATTACTTGTGGAACACTATAGAAAGAAAGGAACACAAAGGGAGAAAGTAGTTCCCTTCTTAGACCCTCACTGAGCCAAAATTAACCCACATTAATTAATTAATTTTGTTTCCTAAACACCACCTCACAGGGCGGGAAAGAGGGAGAAGACACATAGGGGACGGAGCTGTCCACGACGACACACCTGACACGAAAACCTTGCTCCTCAACCGTTCTAATCATCATACTCCATGGTGCCAGAATCGCTTTTGGCCGTCATACGGTCGGTTGACTTTACGAAATCGGGAATCGTGGGAACCCCGTGAATACCGAATCGTTTCTCGACGCTTTCATCGGTCGTTTCGAGGGCACATTTCATTCGGTCGGATTCGATCTTCTCTTTCTGTACTGGCTGCCCAGTCACAGACTCGAGGCTCATCGTGGAATGCGTTGGAATTTCCTTCCGTTCAGAAAATATACGCTGACAAGCGGATTTCTCACGGATCCGCGCGAGATACGCAGAGGGACGCAGGTGAGCATCTTTCCCAGATCTTATCGACGCCAGGTGGTCCTACTTCCTTCGCTTTCCGTTCCCAGGAAATGAGAAACGAGAGGCTCGTCGGAAAAGGACAGAAGGATAATATTTAGTGAAAATGCCATCAGTAGTCATATCAACTTTTCACATCATATTGGCGTAGTATTAATATGAAAGAGTCAATATGTGTGCTACTTGGCATCTTTCATATGCGATTCCAACTAAGAGGGGTCCAATATTAGGGATCATTAATCATGCTCTAGTGGTAGTTGATCCATAGTCCATTTATTGTTTAAATCTTATCGGAATCGGTCAAAATGGAGTGGCGACTCGACAATCATGGAATTCTGTCAACGCAGTTCTGAAAGTCGATCGGGTCCAAGTCTTGAAAATCCGTTCCATCGGTGCAGGATCCCGTCACTTTTGTCAGGAAGGCGGGATTCAACACTATCCAGGCCATGGTGCAATTACACACCACAGGATTATCTGGAACACAGAGAACCTGGGATTAGACTTATGCCCCTGCATCGTTGAGAACTATGGACGAGCGGAATCTCACCTGTGAGATCGATATTCCCTGTCACATTTGAAATAACCTCCAGAATAGGGCGGAAAGATTCCTCATTCACTACAGCGATTTCATTTTTCCTTAGATGTAGGTTCAGGTGTGAACTGAAGCCTGAAATAAAACGAGAAACTCCCTTTTAGCCACTATAGGAAATAAATACTGGGATATGATGATAACTGCAAGAGTTCCTTAATGGTAACCAAATGTGGGAATTTCGATAACATGCCTGTGATTGCATTCAACTCCACACGCGAGATGGAGTTATCTTCTAAAAGAACATGATATACAGATGAACCCCGGAACTCCAAAGATCCGGTTGACAATGTCGGTCCGAGGGAACCAAAAGAACTATGAAAATGGTCTAAGTTCTCCATGGAGCTGAAGAATCCAGGTGGAATCTTCGAAATTGGATTCCAACCTGCAGAAATGGCAAAGAAATCTACTGAAAAGTGAGTAACCAAAAAGTAAAGAAAATTTTGGCACCCTATGTACAATATAGGAACTCATATTTATATACTGAATATTTATGGCATTACATTTAGCAATAAATATTTTTCTAAATCTTGGGGCTTTCGATACATTTGCATAAATTCGGATCTTTTTTGCATTACAGGGAAGGTGAAACTGGAATGAACCAAAAATGATTTTGAGCCACACCGCACGCATGAATCTTCCACACTCGTGAAAACTTCTCGCGTTGAAAAGAGAAACTTTCAATCATAAATTTTTAATAGAATTGTCTGAATTTGAGTCGAAAATCAAGAAAATTCTGAAATAGGGATGAAGAATGAAATGAGGAACAATTAACATTGACTCCAGTATGATGATCCCCGTAACTTAGCTTTTAATATATGCCCACATGGTGAGGGATGGAAGGCATTGCCTGTCCTCATGCGATGACGACATTCTTTTCCCTTTCTCTTCGCAATCGATCACGTGAATGGGAAAAAGGAAGGAATGTAGCGTTCAAATTGATTTAGATACTCATTCATCCTAGTGTCAATATTTTCAATATTTTGCGCTCACTCATTAAGAAGCTTCGTAGATTTGGTAGAGACATGTTCCCAAAAAAGGTTAGTTGATTCCCGGCGACACCGAGAGTCTCCAGACTCGAACTTTGGAATGATGACAAAGAGGTAAGCTCATTTGCGCCGAGGGAAAGGTAAGTGAGAATGCTAAATTGTGCGATGATTTCAAAAGGAAATTCTTTTAGTTTGCTATTGTTGATATCCAGCCTCTCGAGTCGATCTTTCGAGGGGAGTAGCGCCTCAGGATCGATGCTCTCTACGGACGTCCTGGAAACTTCAATTTCCTGGAAAGTGACATCACCAAAGACTCCTTCTGGCAACTGCTCCACTCTGTCGTTTCTCTCCAACCAAAACGATCTGCAAGCATAGGGAAAAGCAATTATATCCCCTTTGCGGATAAATTAAAGTTTTTTTGTCTTACTGGTAGCACCGCTTCCATTGCGATGGACCAAGTTGATATTAGAAGTAATTCAACATTATTACCAGAAAATGTGAGCAATAATTTCTAATAAATAATTTCTTTTGAAAACAAGTTTGACGAGTTTGGTCAGGAATTCAGGATTCAGAACTATTAATAATTTCTTGCACTCTCGTTCGTAAAATCATCTTACGTGAGGTTTAGGATGGGCCAGTCAGCGTCGTTGAAGGCAGAGAAGATTTCTTCACTCGAGGTCGCCTCCGAACAATCCACGGTCACAGTGGCGAGAGTTTCATTGTGGGAGCAAACGCAGGGAATGATGGCCTCGGGATCCGGACATGGACTCTGCCCGCCGGTCCCGGGGAAGGAATAAAGGATGATGAAAAGGGAGAGAGGGGTCAGGTATTCCTGCATCCTCGAGGGAGACAGAATGAGGAGTAGGGAGAAGAGAGGAACGGAATGGACTGGGATCGAGTTCTTTCCCAACTATTGAATTGGAGGAGAATTTCCTTGCTTTTATAGATTCCAAGAAATTCATTGGAAATTGTTACAATTTCTCGGAATGTCTTATCAATTCTCGGAAATGTTTACGATTCATAGGAAATGGCATTTCCACATTTCTTTCTGGTTCTTTTTTTTAAAATTTCCTTGGAAGCCTCCAGACTTTCACAACCGGAAGAGGGATATACAGTACTGAACTCCGCCTTAATTGAATCATGATGTCGATCCAACTCAATCCTGTCCTCTCCTCGTGAGACACCCATACTATTTTTTTTATCTATACAATTTTATTTGAAACAGCTTGAACTTGAGGCGAACGTAGCCTACTAAAGCGAGGAGAACACATAGACTCCTAATTGGCCACCCTCTAGATTGATCCGATAATGAAACACTGTTGCCATGTTTACAGCAACCTACACGACTTTTCTTCAGGGCGTTTTCGAGATTTGCACCATAAGCTCTCTAAATTGAATAAGAAAATGCGGCTCGGAGACCCCTTACGAAAATGTCCTATAGGAAACCTTTAGCTATTTCTTATAGGAAACCTATAGACTTTCCTATAGGTTTTTGAAACACAAAAAACCTATAGGATCCTTTAGAATCCTATGGGATCTCTATAGGGTCTTATAGGTCTCCTGACCTATAGGATTCGGGGAGGATATTTTGAGATTCGAAATCCAGGCATTACGACGGAAAAGGCGACCGGGGACATGCATTATTAATACCAGTACTGCGAGGGTCTGCATAATTTATAACCCTGCCCAACATATGCCGCTGGATTGCATGTATACTTCCTCCGGTAGAGAGAAGCAGTATTCTTCTCTCGGCCTAAGGAAATGTAAGACAGAACCTGCGAGCACGTCTCTTTACTGAAACTCCATTTAGATAAAGTCTACTTATTTTCGTACGTGGTTTTCAAAAGGAATTTGGGCATAATTCTTCACGGGACTCAATGATTCCATCTGGAAGATGGGGATGACAAAGAAGGAACTGTTGAAGTTTATTGATTGCTACAATGAGGCAAGGCGAGACATTTGGGGATGTACAAAACTCTCTTGCGAGAGATGATTCCTTGGATAAGGGGAGGGCACTCTTGTGCCCTTTGAGAAATGTGAGAACACAATACTTCCATCTAGTGGCCTAGAGGAGAACTTCAAACGGAACCCTATAAGCCTATAGGGTTCCGTAAAAGTCCAATAGGGATCCCTATAGGTCCTATAGGTCCTATAGGGAACGCTATAGGTCCTTTAGGGAATCCTATAGGTCCTATTGGGAACCCTATAGGCCCTATAGGAACCCTATAGGTCCTATAGAGAATCCTATAGGTCTTATAGGGAACCCTATAGGGAACCCTACGGGTCCTTTACAGAGCCCCTTGTGTCCTATAGGGAACCTATAGGCCTTATGAGGAACTCTATTGGTTCTATAGGGGGCTCTATAGGTTCTATAGGGAACTCTATAGGTTCTATAGGGGACTCTATATGTCCCGAACTGAACTCTATGGGGCATATAGGAACTTATAGGATTCCTTTAAGTTCCTATAGGATTCCTTTAGGTTCCTATAGGATTCTTATAGGAATATATAGGAATCCTATAAGACATTTTCGTAAGGGANATCTCGTTTTTGGAGTATGTGAATTTCAATCCGGTTTTTTTTTTCTCCCCTCCAGGGTATCCACTCCTGGGGGGTTTTCGGTGGAAAGAGACCAACCATAAGAAAGATATTGACTCCTAGATGACGAAAAGTGGCTTTTTTGTAGTTTGCGATGCTCCATTTCGCCATTAAAAAAAAAATGAAATTAGTTGTCGTTCGATTAGGCTTAGAGTGCTTGCTCTAGTACCGTCCCCCAGTGTTGCCAGATACCGTGCCGAAATTATGCAAGATTCAAGACTGTTTCAACCGTCGTATTTGCGTCTGGATCTTCTGTTTTTTAATGTATGAGGTATTTTTGTGCTGAATTCATGAGTTGAGCTGAGGATGCGCGGTAGTTCGCAGTTATTAATCGATGTGATGGGATTTGCATATATCTTATCCGGACATCCCTGAATTAGCAGGATGGCGCGTACCATGGATTGCATGTTTCTCGAAGGTATTCTCTCCTCTGACCTATTCGAGATGGTTCGAGGAACTCTAGATAGGCCAAACGCTCCACGTCCCACTAAAATGGTTCATGAAACGCGAAACAGGCCTCCAATCGGTCTAACGTTACACGTCCTCTGTGAAATGGTTTGTGAAAGTATAAATCGGCCTGCGATTGGTTTAACGTTACACGTCCTCAACCAGAGGTCTGATACACCACGATTCACCCTTAAAGGCCAAATTGGCGCCGTAAGTCGAGAATTGAGTTTCTTTCGAAAAGAAAAAGGGAGGCCTTGGCGTGACCTAAAGGCAGTCTGTTGGTTAGGGCAAGGCCTAATGTTCGTGAGTCCCATATGGAGGGGGGGGGGGGGTTGAAGAAAGAGAAAGTCATTGAAAATTGGTTTTCACAATGACCGCGTTTCAACACGTCTACCCGATGCAGCGAGCAGTCATCGAAGATGCAGTTTACCCATTCAATGTAAATAGTTTTCATCTGGTTTCATGAGTTAAATACATTTGAAATGCAGCGCATGAATTGAACACTCAATCTTCTTTCTCGACGTTCTCGAAATTTACAAATTTAATGAGCTTTGCAAACGCCATGAGGAAAACAGTGGACTCGTATGGTGCAAAAGTCAGGTTCGCCATTAATTTCGGGCGGAAAAAAAATCAACGAACGGAAAATGCTAGGATTAGTCAGATAGAAGAAAAATAACTCCCGGAAATCGGTCCCTCAGAACGGACCACGATCGATAAAGCATCAATCCTTCCTTTCTTTACAGGGGATACAATAGGTAACCAACAAAATGTAAGGAGCGCCCCGGATCACTGAAATCCGCGTATGTTTCTCCAAGATTCAGGAAGATATCAACTTCGTCTCCCACACTGAGGTCAAGCAGTATCGATTGGCCCGGCATCTGGTCGTTGATCTGGACTTGATTATCATTTATGTCTATTTCTTGAGTTATCAATTCCGCTGCCTCTTCTCCATTTTTCCTGATCGTGATCAAGTTCCCCTGCGGGTGATTTGGAGTGTGATTCACTACACGAGTCCAGCAATGCAAATGAAAAGCGTAGATCCCATCCTGAGGTGCCGTAAAAATCCCGGTGCTCGGATCCATGGCTTCACCAATGTTCACTTCCGTTCCATCGAATGGAATTATCCAGTCCCAGTTATCCCAAGAAGTCGTTCGATACGCATCGAAATAAACCCCCCCTTGCTGTATGAATGCATCGGTCTCCAATTGAAATCCAGGATCCGTCTCTTCCAAATCCATTCGACAGAGGACGACATCCAAACGCCCTCGTTTCTTGCCGATCAAATGGTAACCTGTTCCAGTGTTCCCAGCCCGACGAAGAGACGAGCACGAAGTCGGAGGGTTCGCCGATGGGGTAGCGCGACCCCGACAAACCAATCCACCCAGAGTGTGATTCGCTTTCTGACCCTCAGTTTGCACCCCTCCGAACCGTAACTCGACGATGGGGAGTGCCGTCGGATCGGCGATGATTCCTATGTCCGCCTCCTGTTGCAGGGCTCTTGCATCGTTGTTGCAACGTCGTGTGGGATCGATGCTGTCGTGAGAGAGGCCGCAGTCGCTCGCGTGTTCTACGGCGTCCGCTTCGTCCCAGTGATACCGAGGTCGGCCGTGTCGGTCGAGCCACCAGGAATACGGAGTATCGCCTTCGTTCGGGACCACCGCGGAGCAGTCGTACTAATGAAATGAATGAGTCGACGGGAACCATATCGATTTAGACTTAGTGGCAATTTCGCCCTCAATCGTGAGTTACAACAAATAGTATCTACATTGAACTCACTCTTATTCGTTGTTCGCACGACGCCGACTGATCGATCAGGGACACT